CTCGTAGCTTTAGGTATGCGGAATATCCCGTCCACCAGAACTTGTTTGCTCTGCCTGGGGTTTAGTATGGTGCTCAGCAGCCTCCTGGCATAATGGGGCAGCTCCCCGGACGTGATTGACTCAGGAATGCCCCTGATCTTAATATTTCTGCACCTGTGCCTGTCTTCCATAGTGTCCATTCGAGTGATAAGTTGTGCTTGGGCTTATGGAGCTCTGCTGTCAGGGTCTCTGTTGTTTGGCATCTGGAGGAGAGTCCCTGTGCCTCAATTTCGACTGCAGTAACACGTCCCTCCATTTTGTGCATGTCTTCTCGCACTACGGCGATATCTGCCGCAAATAGCCCTCGGATGTTGCGGAGGAGCGCCTTAATGTTGGCCTTGGTAGCTGGCAATTCATTATCCTCATCGGAGGATGTGTAATGGAGCCCCCCTGCGGCTGGGATCTCGTCCAGCTCGTCCATAGCCCGTTCTTCAGAGGAGGCTGAAAGCGAGTCGCCATTTTCTTTAGGTGCGGCCGTGCCTGAGGCCCTGGAAGGCCGGAGTAGGAGATCACCAATGTCCTGGGATCCCGCTGGTTTGACGGGTCCCTGGCGTCTGGACTTCTTCCCCATACTGGCAATGCGTTTTTGTTGCAAAACGAGCGATTTTAGGTTTGTTTAATATCTTTTTCAGGCTTGTCGTAGCGGAGCGCTCTTGCAGCACGTCTGCTCTTTTCGGCCGCTAACTCCGCCCCCCCTTAATCTTTATTTTTACTTTCATTTTCAATTTTGTTGAAGAGACTGTTGTCTCTTTTTCTGTGGCTGTGGGACTGAGCTTTGTGTCTTGGTCTTCACCTACTATAACCTGTGAGAAAATTAGTTAGCTAATCATTTAAAGTGTACAATGGGCTATAGCTTTGAGTGCGTTGAACATTGTGGCCCCATATCGTTGACAGACCACCCAAGCTTCTGAAGAGTGCAGGCTACTTCCAAGGCCTTGCAGACATTCTAAGTCCTGAGGGATTGGTCCCACTAAGGTATCAGAATCCTGGAGGATCCGTGGTAACTTAGTCAAAGGCAGTGTGGGAAACAACCAGTTGGATGTCCAAAACGGTCATACTGTTCCGCCCACATAGGGCATATGGAAGACTACCTGTACTAAAGGTGCCCACTGATTTTATATGCCCAGAGAACCCTCCTTGTAGTAATGTCCCTACTCCCTTTTCCCTATTTAATCACAGACAACCCTGGGTTCTGTGCTCAGTTGTTTTGTGGACTTCCTAGAGATCACAAGGTTCCTTTGCTTTTGTTAACCCTTACCAGCTTGGATTTACCTTTGTTAACCCTTACCAGCTTAAGCTTTTCTTTGAAAACTCTTACCTGCCCGTAATTGCCTTGGTTAATCCCTGCCACCCTGGACCAGTATTGGACCTTATGGTAAATATTTGCCTATTTGTTTAATCAGCCAAATGCTCTATATTATATTGTTTGCTTATCCTGTCTTAGAAATCTACTAATTGCAAACAAAGGAGGGATCCGCACTCTCATCACTTGTAGACGTCGGTTCACTATACTAGGGCTGACAAACTCCCAATCCATATAGTGAAGACAATGTAGTGCATGCAGCTATAAGTCAAGAGTGTGGATCAAAACGCTGCTGTATTTGCCATGCTTCTCCAATAAAACGGGTGTTTGAAAAAGACCCTGAGTGCCTGGACTACATTGTCTTCACTATAGGAAATCTACTAAGACTTTATTTTGTTTTGATAGTCCTGATCCTACTCTATTTGGTTTTGTTCTCGAACCTTTCAGTTAATGCCATTTGTTTAATAAAGAAAGACTTCAAATTAAGTGACTATTTTGTTAAAATCTTTGCATACTGAGCCCATTCACCACAAACACAAGAAAGAAGGTAACGCCATGACAGGTCTCTGGGTGTTTTGCAGCCTCCAGAGCAATTTTCAGATAACAGCGGTAATCGGAAGCTTATCCACCATATATTTTTTATTCCTGCATCCCATAGTTTTAGAAAAGGATGCCGCAAAGTCTGGAATAGCTGAAGTCAGTCAATAAAAAAATTATTGCAAAATAATTCACTAGCTAGCAAGAAGTTCCTCCGAAACATGTCCTGTCAGTATGGCTGCTAGCTCTTGCCTCTTGTGAAGTCATTTATAATGCTATTCTCTGACTCAATCTCTACAAAATGTTTATGTATCACATCAGTCACAGTAATGACACCTCAATGACGCTGCCAAGGGTGGAGTTACACTCTGAGTCAGTGGCGGATCCAGGTGGGGGCAACGGGGCAATTGCCCCCCCAGAGAAATCCACGGGTCTCCCTCTCCCTCCCCTGCCAGTATGGCAGGCACTGTGCTGAGAGCCGGCAGGGGAGGGAGGGAATGAGAGAGAGGACCCGGAGCTCAGCTCCGGGTCCTCCTCTCGTGTGATTTGAAGCGTTGCCGCGGTTACCACGGCAACGCTCCAAATCTCGCGAGAGTGAACTCTAGCCCACTGGACCACCAATGAATCCCCCACCGGACCACCAGGGAGCGAAGTATGTCCCCCCTCCTCCCCAGTAAAGGTAAGAAGGGAGGGGGGACATATTTCGGATAAATAATTAAATAAAAAAATTAAATTCGAATTAAATAAAAAAAAATATATATTATTAAAAAAAAGCCACAGACACATACATTGCCCCCAATACTGCCCCCCCATTCACACAAACTGCCCCCCCATTCACACAAACTGTCCCCCATACACACAACCGTCCCCCATACACACAAACCGGTTCCCCCCATTCACACAAATAAACTGCCCCTCTATTCACACAAACTGCCCCCTATACACACAAACTGTCTCCCATTCACACACAAACTGCCCCCCATACACACACAAACTGCCTCCCCATACACACAAACTGCCCCCCATTCACACACAAACTGCCCCCCATTCACACAAACTGCCCCCATTCACACACACAAACTGCCCCCCATACACACATACTGCTCCCACATACACACATACTGTCCCCCATTCACAAACCGCCCCCCATACACACACACTGCCCCCATACACACACATACTGCCCCACATACACACATACTGCCCCACATACACACACACACACCGCCCCCCCATATACACACACACACACTGCCCCCCCCCCATACACACACAAACTGCCCCCATACACACAAGCTGCCCCTCATACACACAAGCTGCCCCTCATACACACGCACTGCCCCCACATACCCCTGCTCCCACATACACACACACTGCTCACACACACTGCCCCCATACACATACTGCCCCCCATACACACATACTGCACACATACCCATACACACACACACACTGCAACTGTTACACACACATACTGTCCCACACATACACTGCATCCCTGACATACACTGCCACCCTCACTCACACACTACAACCTTCACACACACTCTGCACCCCTTACACATTGCACCACTCACACACACCACTGCTCCTATGCCCTACTACTGCCCCATTTCCCAGCAGATCTCAGGTAAGTTGTCAAACTGTTCTTAAATGGTTTGACTACTTACTGTGGGAGGGGGTCCCGGCACTATTGACACCATAACCACTACACTGAGCTGTAGTGGTTATTGTGTCTGGATTATTTCTTTAAATAATCTACAAGTGCCCCTCCCGAGATCAGGCTCTGGATCCGCCACTGAACCAATCAGAGTGTTGTTATGAGTCAAATTATACAGCATTGGTAAATTCTAAAGAACTTTCC